GTGAGGGCATGAGCGGGGGGAAGGGAGGGATGGAGGGTAACATGGGGACAAGGACACATATGTAATATCTTAATCAATAAAAAATATATTAAAAAATAATATTTAAGAAATAATATTTGTACTTCCATTGGGAGGCAAAAAAAAAAAAAAGGGGGACCACCTCCCTGACAGGGATGGCTCCGTGAATCCTCTCAGAGTCAGAACAGAATTGGGAAAGTAAACCCTCTGTCCGCAAATGCCACAGAAGGTACCCCAACAGACAGAAATGTTTACTTTTAAAGGAAAATACTTAACTAAGCATTTAGATTATTCTTGCATTGGGCTCTCCTTTAGGAAAAATTGGTACTTACATTAACAGATTGGTTCTCAAACGGGGTGCCTCATGGAACTATTGAAAAACACAGATGCCCAATCTCTGTTCCAAGAGGTCAGACCCACAAGTGGGTATCCTTTCTCCTTGGGGTTACTCTCAGGCTACACTTCCCCAAAGTCTCTAAGACCATTTAGAATCCCACTTTTCCATTTTAAGCAAAGGCCATGTCTTTCCATTTGGGCTTTAGTAGAAAACTATGCTATTTACAACGCTGTAAATTACAGGTAATTAAGAGCAATGCAAAAAAAAAGTTCTTGTATTGTAGACATGCAGAGCTGATCCTATCTGGTAGAGGTTCGACGGATGCTGCTTTCCCCCTTTTGGAAGAAATCAGTTCTGCCTCCTTTGTACATTCATCTCGTTATTCCTGATCTACAATGGGACTGTCCTTAAGATTCTCTCCTGAACCTGTTGTAACACCTGCCTGATTCTCTCGGGGACTTTCGAGTTTAAAGAAATCTTTAGTATGTGTTCGTGATTTTACCTTTTTTGGAAAATGACCTTGGATGCACCTTGGCAAATATTTTCCTTTCCTCGACTCTTGGGCCATCTGCCATTTGCGTGTGCTCTTTGTTTTGGTGGAACACTGGGCGTTTCCTGTGACCTCCCACAGATGCATCATGTCTGTCCAAGGGCTCCTGGAAGAACAGTGGAACAACCAAAAAATGTTGTGGTTATTTTGTTGTTGTTAATCTTCACTTGAGGGTATTTTTTTTTCATTGATTTTTGTTTGTTTGTTTTTAGAGAGAGGGTTAGGAGGAAGGGAAGGGCAAAGAGGAAGAGAGAGAGAGAGAAACATCAATGTGAGAGAGACACACCCTGACTGGGCTGGGAATTGAACCCTCAACCCTTTGGTACACAGGCCAATGCTCTAGCTACTGACCACCACCGGCCAGAGCCAAAAAACACATTATATTATTAACTAAGGCAAAAGAGAGGTTAGGGCAGGGGTGGGCAAACTTTTTGACTCAAGGGCCACAATGGGTTCTTAAACTGGACCGGAGGGCCAGAACAAAAGCATGGATGGAGTGTTTGTGTGAACTAATATAAATTCAAAGTAAACATCATTACATAAAAGGGTACGGTCTTTTTTTTCAATAGTTTTATTCATTTCAAACGGGCCAGATCCGGCCCCGCGGGTCGTAGTTTGCCCACGGCTGGGTTAGGGCATTGGCTCCTAACCTTCTCGTCCACAAAAACTAAAGTAAAAGAACAGAAACTGAAATTAAATAAACCCATCAAATTTTCATTGGGCGCTAACTCACAACTTCCTTATTAGATTTGTTTAATGTGTTTAATTTTTTAAAAAATGTTTTTTTAATTGATTTCGGAGAGGAAGGGAGAGGTAGAGAGAGATGGAAACATCCATGATGAGAGAGAATAACTGATTGGCTGCCTTCTGCACATCAGGGATGGAGTATGCAACCTGGACACGTGGCCTGGACCATTATCAAGAGACCTTTTGGTCCGCAGGCCGAGGCTCTATCCACTGAGCTAAACCAGCCAGGGCTGGTTCGTCGTTTTTAAAAAATTTGTCAGGGGCTATTGCATTAGAGGAACTGGCCTCCAGCTCCCCTACAGCACCCTTGTCCTAAGGAGAGCAGGAGAGGGAGAGAGAGATGCAGTGCAGGCTCGGGCCGGAGGGCGGCTCAGTGGATGCGTGTGAGCGAGGGTGGGTACAGCTGGGAAAGTAAACCCGAACTGAGGGGCGCACGGAGAGCTCGCTTCCCGAGGGCGCGCACTTTGTGGACTCACGGAGGGTCCCTCGGGGCTGACGGTCGCCGGCTCCCGGGGTGCACAGCAGAGGGGTCCTCGGGTTCCTCCCCAGGACTCAGCCGCGCCCAGCTGCGCCTCCTGCCGGC